AAAGTCATCGCATCCTTAAGAAGAAGTGAGTGCAGTTATCAACACGCCAGGAAATGGGTCAGAGGACTCGCTGGCAAACAGCAAACATCATTAACAAACATTTGGCCCAGATTTTTCTAACCCTCACTGAACATAAACCTTTGTAAGAAGTTTATATGATTCACAAACAGCTTCCCCATTTATTCCAAGAGAATCCTCTTAGGGAGTTTTTTCTTTCCTAATATGGGGAAGAGTCAGGATTATTTTCCAAGTCTACAGCGGCCACCAAACAGTGGCTACGACAGATGATGGTAAGAAGAAATGCTAATAGTTGTCTAGGTGTCCTTAAAAATCTGATGGCACTCCTCAGTGTTTTTGGACAGGAGGAAATCTCTCTCTGCCCTCTAGTGGCATCTGAGTCAATTACTGTGTCATTATTATTTAAGGTTAAAATCAGATTTGTGACTGTGTTTGCAGATATCACATAAGAAATATCATGAGGCTATAGGACATGATCGTATTTTGTTTGTGTCTGTAAAACTGTTGTGATTGTGGATTCACCACATCCAGCTCTCAGAGGCTTTGCCACGAAGCCCCACATTCATAGCAGATGCATTGGTTGCGTTACTGTCTGAGGCAGGAGAAGGAAATATGCTGCAAGAGAGGTCACACTCTGCAGTCTGGTGTCAGTTCACTCTATTAAAACACTCTCCTGCAACAGGCATCAGAAATCAAAATGCATTACATGAGCTGAGGATATAAGTGTGACCTGACAGGGCAGTGCTGTGGCCGGCGATTCAACCAACAAGAGTGTTTCCTCTCAAAATAAACAGGTTATATCAGAACAACGGTCACTTCGAGGCCTGTCGTGTTTCACAATAAATAAAGAAGACTTGATGCTCCTTCGGGCAAAACACTGCACAACAGCTGCTTCACCTTTATGTATTCTCTGAATTAGAAAAGCAACATGGGACAAGTTATTTTTATCATCATACTGGATGAATTCCTCATTTGAATCGTTTTTATAGTATTTTAATTATTCATTCATTTTTGGCTTCAATGTAGATTGATGGTAAAAACTCTTAATCGAATTTATGTTATTTTTCCAAATGAAACAACAGGTTCATTCATATTTCATTGGCCATGACATTTCAGAATGTGACCTTTCTTTAAAAAAAAAAAATGCTCTAATGATAAAAATAATCTTTATCAAAGAAATGGCAAACAAGTTGCTGAGAAAGATCATGAATAAATACTCTGTAGACCAAAGAACTCTGAAATGTAATCATCTTTACTGAAGTGGTAGGACATTTAATCAATCTACAAAATGACATGAGTTATGTTATTATGAATCAAACTGATCGAGACATTTGGTGCAGCTGTATAAAACCATGATGACCCATGTAAGACTATTCATATTTCCAACTTGAAACACATACACACACACACACATCTCAACACATGTTCAGGACAATGAATACAGCAGACAGGAGGAAATGCTGAATGTGATTCATGCATCATGGCACACTTGGTGAAGCAGTGTGTCTTTACAATGACAGCAACTGATGGACGTTAATTCAAAACAGTGGAAATGTCAAGATGCTGGAAACAGAAAAAGGTCCCGTCTCCGACAGATTAAAATCAGGCCAGAAAAGTTTTTCCTTTCTAAAGAATTATCATGTATCAAACCTGCAACACTGGAATCAAAAGGAGTAAAAATGTCTGTACACATGTTTCTTCTTCCCTCAGAAAACTCTTTCAGGATGATCACAGCCCACCAGCAAACTACAGACATGAAACAAACTGATTCCAATGTAAATTCAGCTGTAACCTACTGTGTTAGTTTTGCCCATAGATGTGGGGAAAAGAGACTTAGTTTCTTAGCAACTGTGCACGCTGGTCAGCTTAAGACTGGAAACATCACATGACTGTTTCCCCTACTATTCCCTCCCTGCTACAGATGACTGGGAAATACATTAGGAGTAAAGTGGTTTCACGTGTTATATCTGTAGTAACAATCTTCTGGTAAGTTATAACTCAGATAAAAACAAAAAAACGGACTTGCGGTGCAATAATGCAAAATCCAGAAAGCTAACAAAGGTTGAATAGTTATTCAGGGGATGTTGGACTCGTAGAAGACCCTTGAGGATGATACAGTGGGAAAGAGGTGTGTAAATGTGGGAATGAATTAGTACAGTATCTATTGCATTACTAAAAGGCACATCATTGGTTCCATATGACAGTGAAGAGGGCCCCTGTGTGTTTGTATCCTCTCTGCACTATGCAATGAAGTGTATGTCTTGTGGTTCCCAACAGATATCTATTGATATCCATGCAATGTTGTGTAAGTTCCTGAATGCTAAAGCCTGTTTATCTGGAGCCTCCATCGCTGCATCTCCTCCTAACCTGCACAAAAGTTAGTGACATAGTTTTTTGTCAATCTATTTCTTCACATTTTCTGAATCACTCCACAACATTACAGTTTATCAAACTGGTTTTATCTTGTATTCTTGCAAAACTTCTCCTCCGCTCGTTGAAGCCAAAATATTCTGCATGTGGGCGCTGCCATCTTGTACTTTTCAAGACATTTGAAGCCAGACTCTGTGCAGTAGTGGTCGCGGAGTGGAGCCGTGGTATTGAGGCTCTATGGAGCTCTATTATTTTCAATTATAGCACCAGATCTGATGTCATGAGAATCAGCACCCAACTTCGGTTGCTTGTAATTTTCCAGCCAACCAACCTTGTCTACTAAGAATGAACTGTTTACCCTGGTGACCAGTGTAACCCCGCCTCTCGCCCAGGGTCAGATGGGATTGGCCCCAGCCCTCCTGCGACCTTCAAAGAACAAGAGACATACGGTTTGAAATGCAACTCCTATCAACATAAACCACTACGGCCATTTTTCCTCATAAATGTAGAGGGAAACAGTGACAAAGTCGCTGAAGTCAAGCTGAGATCATGGATTCATTTTGTTACTTCAAGCAGGAATTACAGGAGAGAGAGCAGTGCAGGGGTCATGTACATCTAACTCTTATCTGTCCTGCCCTTTAGCGCTGAGGAGGGACGGCTGATCAGCAGGTGGTTGCAGTTAATATATGACACACAAGAAATAAATGAGTTATAGTTTCGTTGAAGGACGCCCTTACATTGCTGTCCCTAGAGGACTGCAGTTGTGTTAGGCAACTTTAAAATACGCAAAACTGAAACACAAATCCATCAAATGTTGCAGATTTGAAAATATTTCTGCAACGTGTCAAAATCATATTGTGAACATGTTGCTTACCTGCATCTATATCTGATGTCGGGAAAATCCAGTAGATAGATAGACAGATAGATAGATAGATAGATAGATAGATAGATAGATAGATAGATAGATAGATAGATAGATATCAGAATCAGAATCAGAATCCTTCATTGTCATTGTTTAACATTGTCACCAACATTCAACATTGAAAATTCTTTTTGCAGCTCTTCTTGTTCCAGCAGTGATCGAAAGATTTTAGCAATCAGACATAATCAAGAAGTAAAATAAGTAAAAAAATTCAAATGTACAGTATTTTTTTCTTTTCTTTATAAAAACCCAGCTAAAAGATAAACATATTAAAGTGTGACAGTGCAGTAACAGTCTAATAATAATGACAGGGCAAATAGTACAGTGTACAGTAGGACAGTCAGTCTGACTGACTGTCCACCTGAGTTGTAGTGCAAAAGTATTGATTTTGTGCAAGAATTACAGTTCCAGAATGATAAATAAAAGATTCACATTGAATACCCATGGGATAGAGAGTGTGTGTGTATGTGTGTGTGTGTGTGTGTGTTGTTTACAGTTCTTGGGTAGAATGGGAGAGGGGGGTAGGTATGTGTTTGATTGTTAACAGTCCTTGGAAGGTGGGGGTGGGGTGATGGCTTTAACGGCCTGAGGATAAAAGCTGTTTAAGAGTCTTGTGGTTCTGGCTTTGAGAGAGCGGTATCTCTTACCAGATGGGAGGGGGGCGAATAGGGCATGTCCGGGGTGTGTGGGGTCCGTGCTAATGTTAATGGCCTTCTTATGGAGTCGGCTAGTGTAGATGTCTTCGAGGGGGGGTAGTGTGGTCCCTATGATTCTTTCAGCTACCCTCACCACCCTTTGCAGGTCCCACCTTTCCTTGACGGTGCAGCTGGCAAACCACACTGCACAGCAGCAGGTCAGGATGGACTCTATGGTGGCCCTGTAGAAGTTGACCAGCAGGGGGCGGGGTAGGTGGGCTTGCTTCAGCTTCCTGAGGAAAGTAAAGGCGTTGACGCGCCTTCCCCACCTGATTCGAGGTGTGGACGGACCAGGTGAGGTCGGCTGTGATGTGGACTCCAAGGAATTTGAAGCTCTCCACCCTCTCAACCTCCTGTCCATCAATGGAGAGGGTGGGGAGCACAGTTCTCTTGGATTTCCTAAAATCCACGATTATTTCTTTTGTTTTGTTTGTGTTTAGATCCAGGTTATTGTGGGAGCACCAGTCTGTCAGGCGTCTGACCTCCTCTCTGTAGGCTGACTCGTCGTTGTTGTTTATCAGTCCTACGATGGTGGTGTCGTCGGCAAACTTGACGATGGTGTTTGTGGGGTGGATGGGGTAGCAGTCGTGGGTGAAGAGGGAGAAGAGGAGGGGGCTGAGGACGCAACCCTGTGGGGTTCCTGTGTTCAGGATGAGAGTGGAGGAAGTGCGTTCTCCCATCCTGACACGCTGAGGTCTGTTGCTGAGAAAGTCCATAATCCATGTACACAGTGAACCATGTACACAGTGAACTATAGATAGATAGATATCACACGAGTGAAGTGTCTTCACCGACAAAATACGGTGAAACTTAAAGTAATAAAATAGTTTGTGCCTGATAATGTGCTGTAGATTCGTTGCGGGGCTGGAGATGCGTGTGTTCATCCGAGTTTTACGCGCGCACTTTGTGCATCAGGACTCCATCGCCCCTCGTCCACCTGACCACAACATGTAAACCAGAGAGCGGAGGGAGGAACAAGGGAGAAAGGAGGGAGGGAGGAGAGGAGATAACATGACAGGACAGCGTCTTGAGAGGAGACGCCAGCGATGAGGAAGATAAGGACCCGACCTCCAGGCTGCAGCAGCCTCCACTTCTGCTGCGCGTAAATCACAAGTACAAATCAACAGGAGGACGGTAAAGTTTTCTCTTTCTTTTGTCGTCGGTATTCGATTATATCTTCTTACAAAGATTCATCAACTGCTGTCATCTGAACTGCTGATGTGTTTTTATTTCCTGCGATAAGGAGATTGGATGTTTCAGATTATATTTAACACTAACTGTTATATACATTAACAAGAAGAGTGTTTTTAATCTCTGTAACAACGTACAGTCAATAAACTAATCATTCAATCATTTTCTTCAGTTATTGTTATTGTTTTGCTCTGTAGATGGAGGGAGAAGAGGTTAGGGATTTATTTATTGGTATTTATTATTTTTATTCTGAAAAGCACTTTGTGTTACATTGTATACAAAGTAATAGTAATACAAATAATGATTGATTGATTGATTGACATTTTGACAGTTTTTAATTAAGCCATTATCCATTTTTGTTGAACTGCAAGTTATTTCAGTTTAAGATTTTAAATTATATTGCATTGCTCAGATTGTTGTACCCTAACATGATCATTAAAGTTAGAGACAATTCAAATCCCAACAAAGTGCAGTTTCCCTCTGTGTTAGAAACTTCTCTGATGACCTCATATTTCCATATTTCCTCTTTATTTCTAAAGCTGACTCTGGGAAACAGAATGTCACAGCTGTATTACGGCAAAACTGACAACTCCCCGTACAGGGACTCCATCCCCCTGCGGATCGTGAGGGCCGAGTCCGAGCTCTCTGCCCTGGAGAGGGCCTACTTGGTGGCAGTCGAGAAGGGGGACTACGCCAGCGTTAAAGAAGACCTGGAGGATGCTGAGATTTATTTCAGGATCAACATCAACTGCGTCGACCCCCTGGGACGCACTGCCTTACTCATTGCCATCGAAAACGAGAACCTGGAGATCATCGAGCTGCTGCTCAGCTTTAACGTGTATGTGGGTGATGCCCTGCTGCACGCCATCCGCAAAGAGGTGTTGGGGGCTGTGGAGCTGCTGCTCAACCACAAGAAGCGAGGGGACAAACAGGTAGCCTCCACCATTAAGACATCCCTTGTGCAGTGTTTCCATTTAACGAGTGGAAACAGAACCTCATGTGATAACTGTTGCTACAATACTACATGTTCACTTTGTATTCTCTAACCTGTGTATAGAGTTTCCACGATCTTCTCCCAGTGGTGCCATAGTGTCCCACTGTCTGTATAAAGTCATTTATGTGATGTTTTCTGTTTAACTATCTTACTCATATATAATGTGATCCTCCTTATGCTGTGATATCCTCCTTATGCTGAAATGCACATGCAAATATGTGCCCATTGCCTTTAATTTTCAAGATAAATGATAAATAATTTTTGACTGTCCTGTTTAGCAGCCAGTAAACAACTGTGACGTCTCCCATCAGTCAATTCACCTCAAAATTTCGCAATTGATGTACATTTTTCAGACTATTACTCTCCAGATAAGTTTGCTTTTACAGTTACTTCCTTCACTGTTTTATAGTTATTACCAGTGTATTTATGTTGATTGGATTGTGTCCTTGCGATAGACTGGTATACACTGCTCTATAATCCCACTCTGCAAATCTTAAAACCTTGTTCATAAGATAGAATTGAAATTCTGCCAACATGTTACAGTATGAAAGGTATGGTTGTGTTTAGTTCTCTTGTTTTTGCATGAAAGTCTTTTTGATGTGCTGTAATTTTGTTGTTTTTATTTTTGACACCGCTGGGTCTGCCTGTAATGGTCTTGATTCTGTGAGGAGAAGAAAAAAAGAAAAGAGGGTATAGTTGCCTCCAACCAGAAAAGTATTTTGAGGGCAGCTGAACCACAAGCCATTAGCTGTGTGTTTACTGTTATACAAGATGGTCAGACTCCTAAGACTGATGAAATTAGATCCATTCAAACTATTTCAAACTAACTGTTCAGGCCCTGTGAGGGGTTTAAAAAGCTGCTATTGTTTACTGTGAATTTATTCTTTTTTAAATTTGTTTGTTTCCTCTCTTGGTTTCCCGTACAGGTTCCACCAATCCTGCTGGACAGGCAGTTTTCAGACTTCACCCCAGACATCACGCCAATCATCCTCGCAGCCCACACCAACAACTACCAGATCATCAAACTGCTCGTGCAGCGAGGAGTTTCCATCCCTCAGCCGCATGCCGTACGCTGCAACTGCGTGGAGTGCGTCTCCAGCTCAGACGTGGACAGCCTGCGTCACTCACGCTCCCGTCTGAACATCTACAAGGCCCTCTCCAGCCCCTCCCTCATCGCCCTCTCCAGCGAGGATCCCTTCCTCACAGCTTTCCAGCTCAGCTGGGAGCTGAAGGAGCTCAGCACAGTGGAGAATGAGTTCAAGTCAGAGTACGAGGAGCTGTCCCATACGTGTAAACAATTTGCAAAAGACCTCTTGGACCAAACCCGAAGCTCTAGAGAGTTGGAGATAATCCTCAACTACCGAGATGACATCAATCCCCTGCTGGATGAGAACACTAATGATCTGGCACGACTGAAGCTGGCAATCAAATACAGCCAGAAAGAGGTAAGTTCTTAATTCACCATCATCACCCTCTTTTTTTATAACACAAGATCAGAAAACTACTTCAATGTCTTGGTAACACAGGTACACAAACCGCCTGGACAGAGTTTTACAGTCTTGTGTTGAAGCAACATGGACTAGATATGAAGAACGTTACCAAGATGAGCCGCAAATGGCCTGAAGAGGGTGGAGATGTCCTCTGGGAGGTTAGAGCTACATGTAATTGCCAGGCTGGCTCTTAGAAATGCATTACAGTGGCCCTTTTAGACGGTCCCATGACATTTAGATAATTGGCGATAATGATGGCATAAGTGATGAGCATTTCCCTGAAATACAAACTCATAATATTATAATTAGGGAGGGAACCTTTTACTGTCTTTAACATATTCTGTGGGAGTATTTTGCCCCAGGATGCAACAACGACTTCCTGTCATTTATCATGAAGTAGTGCGATTTAAAATTACACGTGGTGATCACACAGTGGCTGCAGGAGAATAAGATGCACAAGAAAATTCAGTTTGGGATTACACATGTGAACGCATGTGTAATGAGGATGAAAACATTAAGCATATAAGTGGGTTGAATTTGAAGCCTTTGGTCTCAGTCTACCACATCAAATGTAAATATCCTCATATAAATCCAGGTCTGCTTTATTTGTTTTGTGGTCTCCTGCACAACAGGCTACAACATAACCTAAACACTGTGTTTCAGTGAGTTCATTGTATTCATAGTTCATAGTATTGTAAAATTCAACGGCAACCAGATGAATGAGAGAAGTTACACAGTTAGATTAGATTAGATTAGATATACTTTATTCATCCCACAACGGGGAAATTTAAATGTTACAGCAGTAGAGAGAAAGTGTAGTATACACTACAGAAATTAAAATGGAAAAGGCAATAACACAAAAAAACAGACAGAAATATCTGTAACCTACACAGTAAAAAAGAAAACAATAAAAAAGAAAACAATCGACCTGCAAACAGACAATGTGCAAAAGGGTACTGAGGATAAAAAGAGTGGCATGATGTAAAAAGTATTGTAATGTAAAGTATTGCCAAAGTAAGTGACCATGATATAAATAATATTGCAAAAGAAGGTGACCATGATATAAATAATATTGCAAAAAGTAAGTGACTATAATATAAATAATATTGCAAAAAGTAAGTGACCATGACATGAATAGTACAGCAAGGCATAAATGAAATAAAATGAAATAAGAAAATA